TAGGTTCAAATGTTTCTAGCAACTATTGTGTGCCTAAATGCACCAATGAGAATTCAAGAAATAATAAATAATTAAATAAATCATTGAAGGGTATTTTGGACTTTTTGTACTTTTAATTAAGGAAATCATTTAATTGAAATGATTCAATTATGGAAATAAAGTAAATATATTTGACAATATCTTCACAATATCTTCTACTCTTGAGGCGATCTCAGGACGATAAAGAGGGAGTCGTCTCGATCATAAATTAAACACCAAATCACCGCTCTTCAAGAATGACTTTGAAGTTTCTGAACAATAAAGAATGGCACACGGGTAGTCTGCGTAACATTGAGAACGTTTGGAAAGCGGAGCAGAAGCATGATGTCGAACAGAAGAAGCTCGAGGAACTCCGAAAGCAAATCCACGAGGAAAGGGAGAAAGCCAAATTTCGTCAACTTCAGGAGCAGGCCGGCTTAGTTCCGTAAGCTCCTCTTTCTCTTTCTCTAATTTCATATTCGCATATTTAGGGTTAGGGTTAGGGTTTCATCTTTCACATTCTTACTGATTCACTTTTGTACTATTTTAGGAAGCAATAACGATTGGATTTCTTATACGATTCGGGATTATCCTCAAGGAAGGACAGTTCAGATACGGGGTTCAAGGCTCTTGAATCTTTTCCGCCCAAGGCGGGACCTGAACCCTCCACATCTGCAAACAAGGTGCCCTAATTCTTCCTTTCAATTTCTTCTTCATCCTAAATTAGAAATCATAGGTTACTTGCTTTCAATCATATCAAGTGATCCCACTATAACTATCCTTCCCTTTATGAGTTGTTACAATCATTGACACATAAGGGAGAAAGGAAGTAGCAAAACAACAAGTTTGAGGGGGACAAGGGTCTCGATTCTTGACTGATCGAAGGAAGAGGAAGTTAACGGAAGCATCCATGGCCAACAGGTGATCTTCTTCTTCGTTTTATTTTGATTTGAATCCATGTAAATTTGGATGTTTGGGTTTTCCGGAAAAAAATTATGATAATGGATGGGATATAACTGGAAATTATTTACCTCAATCGAGATTCACTTTATCTCGATTTTGATTCAAGATCGAGATTGTGTTCATCATCTTATTAAATTCGATTTCTTCAATGTTTTATTTCTGTTCGATTGAAGCAATATTCTGATACAACTTGCACTTCACAGTCATAAGTTGGAGTTTGTTTCGAAAAAGTCAAAACTGGTGTTCACATTTCTAAATCGATATTGCAAATGTGTGTTTGTTTCTTGAATTCATGACTGGGAATGAATGCAGATGTGTGTTGATGATTCAATCACAGCTCTTGAATTCTGTATTCAATCACAACACGTGAATTCTGTATTCAATCACAGCTCTTGAATTATGTAATGTATTCTATTAGAATTTATTTATATAAATGTATTCTGTTAGAATGTTTGAGAATAATTGTTAACAACAAGTATATTTGTGTAACTGGCAACGAATTTGTGATACTTTATGGTTGACTCTATAGTCTCTACTACATTCTGTTAGAATTTTTAGTTTTTATTTTCTACTATATTCTGTCAAACTTTATAGTATTTAATACATTCTGTCAGAATTTATAGTTTTTATTCTCTTAGAATGCATTGAATTTTTTAATTTTTGAAACTTGCTTATGTTTTCTTTGTGGATTTAGGTTTTGAAGAGGCTAACATTGATGTGGAGAAGGAAGAAAACATAGAGAACGAGAGTGTATTATACCAGAATGTGTTATGCTACAATGTATAAAGTGTTGCTTAAAATAATATTCTCTCAGAATAGATTAGTGTTTTTGTTAGATTTTGATGTTTTTTTTTTCTTTTTTCTTTAAGAATGTTGTTATTATTCAATGAATCACAATCATACAATGTAATTATTTGGTATATTATTAGTTCAAGAATTGATTTTGTGTATTCTTTTCAGAATGTATTTACTAGTTTATGGTTGGCATTCTGTCATTCTGACAGAATAAAATCGAAAATATATTTACTAGTTTATGGTTAACATTCTATCATTCTGACAGAATAAAATCGAATTTTAAATTTTGAATTAATTTAAAATATTCAGATTTTTAAAAATAAATGAATTAATTATCCCTAAAAATCCGAAAATTTCCTTTTTTTAATATAGGTTAATTGACTAAAATGCCCTTATGCTGAAATTTGTGTGATTATATGGTACATGTTATCCTATTCTACTATCATAGACCCTCAGATCATGACCTTTGATTATATTCCATCCGATGGTCCAGATGTGTGCATTCTGGCACACAATAGTTACTAGAAACAAAATAACCTAACCATATATATATATATATATATATATATATATATATATATATATATATATATATACTAGTCGTTTACCCGCGCCAAGCGACGGGTGTCAATAATTTTTTAAAATATCTTTTGACCTCATTTGTTAAATAAAAATACTGCAATTAAGGAATTGTTTATAAAATTTTTGTTTTTTGTAAAATATACATGGACCCATTATGGTTATAAATTCATCGACTATTTGTTAAACACAAAATGAAAACAAATTATTCAATTAATCTTAGACGATATATTTCACTATTTAAAAGAAATCAACATTTTAATGACTCAAGTAGCAACATCGAACAGAAGTCAGAAAGAAGCAGCTAGTTTTTGGAGCACATGGTTTTATCAAACAACTACCTGACAGAAACAATTATCCAACATCATTTTCCATTATGTATAAAAAAAGCCTATTTCAGAAATTTATCAAACATCATTCTACTTTCAAGCTCTTTTCTAAAACATGAAGATGGGAAGTCTGAAGGGCAATGCACAAACCATCCCCGGTCTTGAAGAGGATATAGAACACGATATGACCACAAACACAAGATTATGCTCCCTTTGGTTTTGCTCCTGATATGAATATATATCCACTTCGCTTATCCTCTTATTGCGTTTCGATGTTCAAAGTTACCAAATCATCCTCTCAAAATCGTACTTGGTATCTATTATTTGTAAATTTATTAACATATAAAACATAAACATAAAAATTTTAAATGAACTAAATGCATCTAGCCATAGTTTGAAATGTTGACTTCTAATTAATGAGCTTGGAATAAAAAACCATAAAGAAAATATAAAAAACATTAATAAATTTGAAAAGAGGTTAAAAATGCATAGTATGCAAAGGATAACGATAAATTACACATTTGACCCTAAAATTTTTTAAAAATATCAAGTTGGAAATAGCTTCAAAAGAAATTGTTTTTATCAGAAATATTGGAAAATAAATATATAAAAAAAACTACAATGATGTTATGATATTTCTTGCAATAAAAAAATAAACACAATTCTTACAAAATTTCCAAATTCACATTTTCCAACAATGATCTTATATTGTACCAACAGTATAAAACAAATTCATATCAAGACACTAACCTTGCAATGCCTAGTCAGATAGTTATTCTTAAAATAAAACTTTGAACATGCCAAACCTCAAAATAAAGTATATAATCCAACTTCCATTTTTCATATTATATGGGAATTAACATAAATCATTGACTGAATGTTGCTTGCATTCAACTATTTAATAGCAAACTAGAAAAAAAATTTGTTAGTAGAAATACTAAAAAAATGAAAAACAAAAATATTCATTTAAAGTATGCCACATGGAATATAAATAATGATAATTAAAGGAAGAAGAGAGATCTTAGTACTTGATGAGAATACCTTGTAAAAATGTCGAATGAATTACACTTGCACAAGTTATTCACTACCTCAGTTTTTCTTTCCACTTCCAATTACCATTTATATCCCCATTCCTGAAAAATGGATTACAGTATTCAACACACTTGATTCTAAATACAACATAAAAGAATACATGAAAAAGAAAAATGATTTGTTTTTCTATACCTATGTCTTTCTATTGGAAAAGTTTACCAATTTACAAAAATTGCATCCTAATATTCTTTAAAAAGTGAGTAAAAGAGGTTAATAGGGTGCAGTCAAACATTTATGTCATTTACAATGGACACCTAATCATCCTATCCATCCTAACCATGTTCTAACTTATGAATGCTAAATATTAATAGAATCAAACTTACTAGGTGGAAAACTAAAAAAATGTTGGACTACTTATCTACGATGAGAGACTACAAGAAAATGATGTTATTCCATAAACAGTAAAACAAATTATGTGATGTTAGAAACAATATCCATAAATCAAAACTTAATTAATTCTGGTGTTTATCAATTTTAACCGTTCACCCCTGCTGCTGTGGTTCTCTCATAGAGTAATTGGAGTAATGAAAATTTGTACATTGATTGTAAGTCTTACAACATATACTGAGAAACAAATTTCAAAAAGTTATTCAGTAACAATATATACCTTATTTATTCCATGGGGTTATGAAAATCAATGTTGAGCTGTAGAACATTGATCAGAGTTATTCAGTAACATCAGCTGTAGAACATCATAGGCAAAAACATAGAATGTGTCAACACTAATAAAAAATCAGATGTATTATCCAATAGATTAATGAAACTTGACAACCATTAGCAAAAACAATACATGGTTAAAGTTTCCTATAGCAGATGAGAGAAGATACCACCATAACACAACAATGATTAAGCGGTGGTGGAGACAAAAATGCATGTTAGTGGTTACCATTTAGGGAAGAGATAAATAAACATTGGAATGGAGATAGTGGTCACCGTTTAGGGAAGAGAGAAAGAGATCAATTCAGAAATTGCGGTGAAAGCAACAAATCAATCATCAATTATTAAAAGTAAACCACTTTTTAAGTAAATAAAGAGAGAGAGAGAGAGAGAGAGAGAGAGAGAGAGAGAGAAACAGAAGGCGGTGATGGAAGTAACTCACTATTCGAGAGAGGGGAAGAGCAAGAAAAGTATAGTCAGGGTGAAGGAAAGCATCGAGAGTGAGGGATGTACGACTTAGGATTTCTATATCGATGAATATAGTCAGGGACAAAAATGTGTAGGTAGCTATTCGGTGTTCAGGGCATGAGTGTGTTTGTAGTTTCTGATCTTCGCCGAAAGATGATGACGGTTACAAAGGATAAATGACTTAGGAAAAGAAATCAATGATGTTCGTTTGAAGATGTCGATGGTGGTTTTGTACATTTTTGTGTGTGTGGTAACTAATGGGGTGAAATTAGTAAGAAAAAGGAGAGCTCGATGATAGCAATTGTAGATGATTGTGGTGACAGTACCTTTTGGATCTAGGGTTTTTCTCAGAGGTGGTGGTGGTGGCGGAGAAATGTGGTGGCAGTTGCAAATGGTGATCGTGAAGGTGGCGGTGTCATCGGTTACGGAAAAGGAAGGTGGTAGTGGTGGTGGTGGAGGGGAGTTATGATGGCGATCGTATTCTTGGAGATTTGGAGAGACAAAATTTAGAGTGAAAATTGAGAGATTTCTCTTTCATATGGGAGATATAAATAAGTAGTCAAGATATGGATTAAATTTGTTGAGAGGGAGAGAATGCTTGGTCAGCTTTGACCAAGATTATCTCCTTAATTCTCTATAAATGTATTCTTATCTTGACTTTTTTACTTTTGTCGACTATGATTAAGTTTTTTCACTGCATAAACCATTTGTGTGTATTGCAATATAATTTTGTACCTCTTAAAATTCAGCAGCTAAATTTCAAAAGTTATGTTGACTCATTCTAATCAAAAAATACATTTTTTTCTTTTAAATTTAAATAATCTATATTGGGTAAAATAAGGATGTAGGTTTGAATGTTTCAATATTAATTTTACACTTGTATTTAATGCATTATATTTTGTAATTTATTGATGGTTTGTTGTATTATTTGCTTAAACACTTGGACGTCTTAAATCTATTTTTAGAAATAGTAAGGTTTGTATAATACTATAGTAAGATATATATATATATATATAATATATATATATATATATATATATATATATATATATATATATATATATATATAGGCTTAGGTTATTCTATTCAAACTAAGTATTGTGTTATTGTATGCATAATTATGGGCCAATCATTTTACTTAATTTTGGAAAGTGAATAATACATATTATTAAATTAAATATAATAAAAAATACCATCTAATTTCATTATAAGGGTATTTTAGTTAATTAACATAAATTTAAAAAAGGAAAATTGCATATTTTAAGGAAAATAAATTCTATTAATTTTAAAAATCTGATTGTATGTATGATAATTCTCCTAATTCGAATATTCTGACGGAATATTTTTATCAATATATTGAAAAATAACAAATATGATTAAACCATACAAGAATACACATTCTGACATAATATATATTTTGATTTAATGAACTTCTTGAAGAATAACAAATTTTGGATACAAGTTAAAAAAATTTCATTACATTCTTCGAAAAGAAAATATATATATACTATTCTATGAGAATGTTACATTTATTAATAACAAAAAAACACAATATATAAATCATTCTACCAGAATAGACTATTACATTTATTTTTTTTCATTATATTGTATATTATTCTGGTAGAATAATCCATTCTTTTTGGAAGATCGGTGGTCATTGTTCATCTTCATTCCATACAATGTTCATCTGCAAGATTCTATTCTGACAGAATCAGAATTCCGTTGTTCAACCAAACACCTTAAAGCTTCAAAATTCCCCTGTTCAGATGACAGGGATCCTGATAATTTCACATCTCTTGAGTTGGGAAGCAGAGCCCTTAAGCTGTAAAAGGTTCCATATAAACGAGTATTATGTTACTAAATTACTAGTCATTTTGAGGATCTTTTGTTATTGTGATTTGGTTATCCAGAAATATCAGTTTATAATCTTGGAATTTATTAATTCCATACCTGTTAATGTTAAGGGAATTAGCTCCACCTTCTGGTTGATCATCAATCGATATATACTCATCTTCTGATGGAAGTGGCTGGAAGTTTGATTCTGAGTCCAAAATGAATGGAGGAACCAACCAAGTGTTCGCCCGAAAACCATATGGAAGATTACCAAACTGAAAAAAAAAACATAGTGTCAGTTTCCAATTACACTATTATAGCATCAATGTAGAAGTATTTCGGATAAGCAAACAAATATATAGTGGCGCCACCGTGGGATTTGTTTCCTTTGCGGCAGCTGGTTTCTTCTCCTCCACCGGACCAACACTCAGTAGCTCTGTGTATCCGACACGTTTTCTTAGCAAGGTCGCCAGTTCAACTGAGTCGACATGTTCCCCAGTCACAGCGATTTGGGTTTTATCTGATCTAACGAAAGATGCTGATTCAACACCTGTTCATCAATTGTCAGATCGTGATTTAGTCAAGTAATTCAATCAATTCCTATTGAGGTTAACAATAATCAGGTATAAAACCCACAATTCAAATTGAGGTTATGAAATTGAAATTAAGCCATTTTTCTGGAAAACGAGAATTGAGTGAAAATTGGGAAGAGGAAAATCAGAAAACATGATCTTACCAGAGAGACTAACGACGATTTTCATAGCCTTACGAATTTTATTTTCGTTGTTCATTGTGACCGTCACCACAATCTTTTGCTGCAAAACCAATCAATTACACAAATTGAGATTAACTTATTCGAAAAAACAGAACAGAATTGAACTGAATTAGATGTTGATTTGATTGTGTCGAGTGTATCTGTTTTGAATCTAAGAAATTGGAAAATAAGAGGATTTAAAGAAGACGTGTGAAGATTCAAAGCACTGAGAGGGGATAAATTAGGTTAAAATCAATTAACATAATTATAGGAAAGTATTTGGGGAAGTTGTTTATAAAATTACCTAATTACCTTTATTTATTTATTTAATTATTTATTTATATTTTAAATTTTGATTGGCCCACATTTATGCATACAATAACACAAAAAATACTTTAAACAATTGAACCTAGCTCTATATATATATATATATATATATATATATATATATATATATATATATATATATATATATATATATAGAGAGAGAGAGAGAGAGACAGCGAGCCAGGTGCTTTTGAGAACCAAAAGATTTGTGAGAACTTGCGAACTCATAATCAGTTCATCATTTTTCAACACTAAAAACACCAATATTTTCTGAATCGTGCGTCTAAGCCACATCTAGGCTGAACTTGCGAACTCATAATCAGTTCATCATTTTTCAACACTAAAAACACCAATATTTTCCGAATCGTGCGTCTAAGCCACATCTAGGCTCAAAAAAAAGATTTGACGATTTTTTTTAGAAGGTTTTTTTGTATGATTGTTGATGAGCACAATCAACAGTCATATGGATTGCTGATGAGCACAATCAACAGTCATATGGATTGTTGATTGCTCATTACCAGTCCATATTGTTGCTGATTGTGCACATCAGCAGTCCATATGACTGATGATTGTGCTCATCAACAGTCCATATGATTGTTGATTGTGCATACATGCAAATTTTGAAAATAAAAAAAATTGTCAAATCTTTTTTTTTAGCCTAGATATGGTTTAGACGCACCATTTGGAGAAGATTGATGTTTTTGGTGTTGAAAAATGATGAGCTGATTATGAGTTCGCAAGCTCTCTCTCTCTCTCTCTCTCTCTCTCTCTCTCTCTCTCTCTCTCTCTCTCTCTCTCTCTCTCTCTCTATCTATATATATTATATATATATATATATATAATATATCTATATATATATATATTATTATATATATATATAAAAGAGAGAGAGAAAGAATGTTCAATACAAAACCAAATAACACAAGCTAACCACATAACCTTATATCATTATATGAAGTGATTATATTGGAAATGGTGCATCAATAACATTATACCCATTGTCCTAACATGCAAGGGCATAATGAGGCTTTTGCATCTTGACACCATCATCACAACCCACCTTTTGTTTTCGATCTCCTTCTCAACACTGACCACCAATACCATTGTTATCATCATTATCCCTACGCAACTAGCTACACAACCGGAAAATCTCCACAACCGAACTCCACCGGGATACCACAAAAATACCATTGCAAACACCATCACAACACCCCCCCCCCCCCCCCAACATTACCATCTTCACGTAATTATTACCTTTTTTATACCCTATAATCGGTTTGTTTGTTTACCTGCAATTTTGATTTCGACAAAGAAGGCTGGTTGCGACTGGTAAAGAGAGAGACACAAAAGTGAGGAAGGAACAAACATGGACATGGTAGTTCTTTTCTTTTAACATGCTGCTCCCAAAAGTAGGCAATCAGGGGTGCTTTATTGCTACGAGGACATATATATACATAAAGATAAAGCGATGCACCTTTTGTTGAGAAAAAATAAGAACATATGTTGGATTAAAAGGCTCTTTAAATATTAACTATGAACATATGTTCATATATGAACATAGGTTCATGTAAATTTACTGTCTATCGTCTTCTCCAAGGGGTGTTAGCCCCGAGGGTATGTTGGGTAGTTCTTTTGCCACAATCGGGACTCACACGAAGAAAAAAAAAACCCTCAGAAAGAGATAGAAAGTTGTGGGTCTTTCTTTTTTGCTTCTCTTTCGTGTTAGTCGATGACTCTGATCATGTGAACCATATAAATTGATTGTGTTTATTTGCATTATTATTATGTGTTTAAAATTGTTAGAAACGTTTGATGATGTGTTTAAACCCTAACCCCCCTCCCTCCACCAGCACACATGCCAAACCAAAAACCAAATTTTCAAAACTTCAAAACCAAGAAATAAAGTGAATATAGTTATTTTTATTGGGACTTAATTCGATTTTTTGGTTTTTGTTTTGGAACGATTTTTTGCACACCCCTTATTAACAAAAGATGCATGTACATGTTTTTAAAACGATATCGAATTAGAGATGTAACTTTATCAAATCAAATTGTTATTATTTTAACACCGATGTATTCACCAAATCGAGAACAACATCTGAGTTTAAAAACCATAAACAAAATATATCAATCCTATTTCCCCGCAAGCCCGGATTTAATCTTCTGAATCGTAGCAACATCAGTTTTAAACGACATCGCCAACACCTGATCACTTATACTCGTATTGAATACCGAATTCGGAATCGAAACCGTCCCCGCATTAGCACTTCCAAATGCAGACACCGCCAATGCGGGTGACTTAGCATCACTATTAAACTGAAAGTGGACAAGTCCCTTAGGGAACACAAAGATGTCACCTTGTTGCAATTTTTGAGTAAACAACTTATTAGTTGTGTCAACAAACCCAACATCTAACGAACCCATGAGTACAAACCCGTGGGTGGGTGTGAGGTGGGTTGACTGTGTTGCTAGGGAATTGGAGGACAGCGTAGGAAACACTTTGACCATTGAGAGCTGGGAACTCAGCCATGGCGGCTTTTGTCACCTTGAAAGTGGTAGGAAATGGTGCACCGACTAGGCTTCTCATTCCGGTGAATCTGAAGTAGTTGCCGCCAGGTGGGCCGAAGGAAATTGGTGGTGGAATGAAGTCTGTTAGAATGTCGGGGTCTCCTGCCATTGTTATATGTACAATGGCAGATGAAAGCGAAAGAAATAAGAAAAATTGGAGTTTGGATGCCATTCTTGAAGCTAGAAAGTACTAGAAAGGGGTCTGATTCTTGATTCATGGAAGATGTGTATGTGTGTGTATATATACACACATATTATGAGATAAACCAAAGAATATGCTTCTTGTAATTTTGTATCAAAGGTTTTATGTAAAATCAGTTTTACTTGTCAATTGTTAATTTGACGATTCGCTTGAAATTTTAGGTTATTTTGTAATTTTTAAAGATTTTTAACAAGAAATCTTGGTTACTTCACCACATATAGCTGTATCTTTGTTGATTAAAAACCTTGTTGGACGAGTATCCCAATCCATTTATATGAATATGATATTCAATCCTTTTTTTTTTTAGTTGTTGGGTTTTGTAGGTTGTTCAGTTATAGATTTGTTAACCCAAACAAAACAACCTGAATTTGGTTCGTGTTAATAAGAATATGAACTTAAACCAAAGGGCTTTCGTAAAAACATTACACATACAAACACTCATACAAGGTCATCATTATTTTTTTTATATTCAATAAGTAACATAGGATATACATAAAATTCGGTTTTCAGATCATTTTCATTTCAGTTTAAAAGCAAGTTTGGATTTGGTTTTAGTCCGATCCGATTCAATTTGATTATGTCTCAAGTCTCAACACAGTATTTGATGCACTTTCAAATATAGTTACATTTTTTTTTGTAACACGCCTTTTTACACAAGTAAATATACTCCCAAACATACCGATGCATGGTCAACAGAAGTTTTGTATGTTTTATTCACTTGTAAAAGACAATATACATGTGGAACTCTTGTCTAGATAGCAGGACAAATACAAATAGATAACCATAATTTTCTGTGAAGTAAAAATATCAAAATTCACATAAGTAGCATCCTAATGATTGCAACAAACAACCAGAATCAGATTAACATCAAACTACTCAAAACGACACCATTTTCTGATCAGGCAAACATGTTATTTTTCAGCAATTTATTAATAATCGCAGAAAGTGCAGGAGCACTAACACCACATTCATCACCAACAAAACAAGACTTACCTTCTTCAGCAGCTTTACATAACTTCGGATCCAAAGGCACTTTCCCAAGGAAAGGAACACCCATTTCAACACACATCCTTGCAGCACCTCCACCACTACTATCAAACACCTCACTACACGCAACCAAATCCAACAACTCCGGTGCTTTCTCCCTCATAACCTTCAAAGCCCATTCTGTAACATCATCTTGTTCTCCATTCTTCAATTGCCTCACATACTTGAAATCAGTCACAGGTTGAGACAATCCACTCATGTTCTCCACAACACCAAGAACTGGGATTCCAACTTTCTTACAGAAACTCACCTCCTTTCTGACATCAATCAAAGAAACTTGTTGTGGAGTGGTGACAATAATGGCTCCATCGATTCCTGTTTCTTTGAGGAATTGGACGATTGAGATGTGTTCATCTGAGGTACCTGGTGGGGCGTCTACTACAAGGAAATCAAGTTCACCCCAGTAAACGTCTTTGAGGAACTGTTTGATGATTCCATTCTTGCGAGGGCCTCTCCAGATAACGGCGTCATCTGGATCTGGAAGCATGAATCCGATTGACATGACTCCGATGGAATCGACATACACAGGGGACCAACCTAGGTTACTTTGGTGAATCTCTTGGCCTTCTAAACCGAGCATTTTTGGAATGCTTGGGCCACATATGTCGATGTCGAGTAGACCTACTTGATGATCCATAGCTGCTAGTGCGAATGAGAGTTGAGCTGAGAATGTGCTCTTACCTACACCGCCTTTACCGGATAATATCAGGATCTTGTGCTTTACTGTAGCCATTCGTTCTGCGATTGCTACCAAATCTATGCAAGGAAAAGAAGACTATTCGATTAGGAAAAACACGTTTAACGAATTGAAAATCGAATATGAAGCACAACGATTAAGCTATAGATATGTGAGTCAGTATACAAAGTACAAACAAAGAGAACCTGGATCGGGGCCTTTAGGAGCAGTAGCACAAGCTTCTTGATTAGGGCAACCGGCGCAAGCATCGGCTTTTCCGGCATCTTCTGCTTCTGTCCCGGGGCAATCTGAAACCGGAGAATCAATTAGGTCAGGATCAATGGGAAAAGTAATTGATTTCACAATAAGGAGGTAAAAGAAGTGGTGTTAAGTGTTAACCCTACGTTCGTTGGCGTTGTCGGGGACTTCTTTGTGGTTGCCGTTCTCCATTTTCACTAGTTTCCTCTGGTTTGCGTTTAGCAGAAGAAAGCGTGTTGATAAATGGCGGCTTAAACCTTCACGAACTCCATTTATACGCTACCCTAACCGACCTTGGACTCGCCCGATTCAACTCGTGATTCGTCTGTTTTAGGAAGGGTCAAAAATTGGATGATCACTAAAATATGAATATATGATAATAAGATATGATCGTGTCATATTGTTAAATGATTTTTTTTAATTATTATAAAATAAATACACATTTTCGTAAAATAATTCTTATAAAACTTATTTAGTACATTAAAATTATTTTTTTAACATTTTAACGCAAAATCTTATTGTTTTGCAAAATAATCATTCACGATTCTTGAAATTGATCAATGATCATATTTTGCAAAATAATGATTTACATTTTACAAAATTATTTGTCTTTTTCTAATTTATTTTGTGAAAGCAATAGCAAATAAGAGGTTTTTCTATAGTGCCATCGTTCTTAAAATAATTTCACAAAGTTCAAAGTATTTTGTAAAATAAATGATTACTTTTTATTAAAGTTTTAAAAACAAAGGTCATTTATCCTATAAAAAATTGTTTATAAAATAGTTAAATACTTATAAAACTTTATTCATTTTTATTAAAACGTATTTTACAATAAAATATTTTTTTTATCACATTCAATATATTGTTTATAAGAAATCAAATTTAGCGCAAACAAACATGTCTTGTTAACCAATTCTAATTAATGCTACATGTTCTCAATACCAATGTTAAAGGTAGGGGTGACAATTGATAACATGACATGACAAAAATACACAACATAAACGAAATTTAGGACGAAACTGAAATTCGAATTCATGTTCGTGTCGTGTTCATGTCAAATATAAAAAATAAGACGTCATGTTGTGTTGTGTTTGTTTTCAAAATTCGACACGAAATTGACACAATTTAACAGTTTTTATCGTGTTTTTCGTGTTTGTCTTGTTATGTATGATTAAATATTAATTAAATAAACTAATTGTTATTTTATGTTATCTTTGTTGTGTCGTATTTTTTTGTTTAGTAATCGGTTCGTTTTCATATTAGTTAAAAAAAACATGTCATCGTGTTGTGTCGTGTTAAACAAAAAAAACCACAGGATTACCCGATTTGTTACCTGTACTTAAAGGTTTATGGGATAATTAACAAAACTCTATCTTTATTGAAAATTCCAAGTCATTTGTTTGATTATACATTTATAATATAGATTCTTGAAAAAAAAATCATTATTTAAAATGAAAAATCTTTTAAAAGTATGTCCCTTTTACAAGTTATTTGTTTATAATATTTTTATTAAATGGAAAAATAGTATTAGTAATTTAAGTATTTTCCCCTGTAAAAACAATCCTTAGAGGGCCTTATTCAGAAAATATGTATAAGTTCAGGGTATTTTCTGTAACTAACTGTTTTTAATAACAATCCTCGATAACACACAAATTCTCAAAATCAATACCTCTTTCCGAATTCGGACGAGCGAAATTGCTAAGATTTCTTCGATCTTCTCCTGTGATTTGAAGTTTATAGCGACTATGT